GGTTGCCGATCCTATGGCTAACAACTTTGCAAAAGTTATACACCAAAACCTACGGCTGCACAAGCTACATGGGTCTATCTACTTATAGAAAAGTAGCACGCCTACCGCTGGCCTAAAGGTTAACAGTTGGGTGTAAACAAAATAAGCTAAAATAAAGAAAAACGAAGGAAACAAGTTTATTAAATTTTCTAGCAAAATTAATAAACAAATAGCAAAGGTGATGAAGTTCAAGCAAAGCAAAAAAGCAACAAGGAAAATAAAGAAAATCCTAAGGTCTACCTAGAAGACTACTCTTTAGCAGCTTGGGCATCACACGACTACTCGGTCGCCACATTTTTAGCAACCGCTGCACTCTCAGCAACAACATCATCCAGCACTTCACCCTTAGCTGCCCCAGCTTGGGCACCAACTTCTCCGACTGCTTCACCAATGGCAACCTTAAAAGTAAAGGCAAGTAAGTCTTCCAAAGAAATAGAGAAGGTCTTGAAATCTTTCCTAGCAAACTTAAAGTCAGACAGCCTACCAAATTGATGATCTACATAATCCAGCTTGTAAATATTGGCCTGACTCTGAACAAGCGAAGCCTCGAGTCCAACCTTCTCACCTTCTCATCCAATTCCTACTTCAAACTTTCATTGATCTTTAGCACACCTTAGAGTTCCAACATTTGGGGTTCAAGCCTATCGATAATTTTCTTGAAGTGGATCATTTGATTATAAGTAGCAATCAACTCTTCATCCTTTGAGTAAGCAATAGAACGAAGCTCAGAAATGGCTCGCTAAAGATCTTGAATCTGAGGTATGTAACAGCCTATCTCATTCTCTGCACTTTCATACTTAACTTGGATCGCAAAATTTGCCTTAATCGGCGAGAGTATATACAATCTATGTCACTGGAAAGAGTATGATTGAGGACTTTATACTGTAGTCTGTAACTCTTCAATTGGTTATTGGCTCTATCCCCAGCCCCTTCATATTTCGCATCCTGCTACTTCTTTGCTTGCTTTTCTCGATCAAGCGTCAAGCTTAGTCGTCAACCTTCTCCAGGCAAGTGATCTCAAGCTACAGAGAAGTGGGGGCAGAGATATTGGACCCCTTCAAAGTGACGAGTTCAGACTCCACCTCATTGGCAGCTTTGGTATCCCCTTAGTCAAGGAGCATAGAGTCGGTAGCCAGAATTGTTGTTTTCTGCATCAGGACAAGCAGAGTAGTCTTCCTATACTAGGTTGTATGCTTCGCAAATGAACTAAGGCAAATAACCCCTCTAACGTCATCAACAAGCTTGGCACACGCGTCCATGCCTTCAAGCAGATATCGCTTCAAAAGTGCACTTATCTCAACATACTTTCTAGAAATAGGCAAGGTGAAATTTTCACAACTACCCACGTAAGTAGTCTCATCTTTCTCAACAAGCGAGCCAGTCTTGTCAGCAAGAGGAATAGGCTTTGGCGCCACTTTAGCAACAGAGTCCACCTTATTGTTCTTCATAGTAGCAAGCCTATCTAAAGATAAACCAGACTTAGCTCCCAACAGACTTCTTGGTACAGACTTCAACACTAGGGACATGACAGAACCTCTATGCTGAGCAATCCTGTTAGCAATCGTACTAGCTATATTCGGCATGACAGACGTTACAGGCTCATATCTAGTAGCATCATCTTTCTTCCTCTTGGAAGAAGTCAAGTTAATCACAAACCTCTCGACAGCTGGCAAACTCTCATGAGCAGCAGAGGAAGCCTTCAATTTTTTCTCAACCGACATCTTTTGAGCAGGTGGGGAAAATCTTTTCTTTCCACCTTATTCATAGCAGGATCCATGACAGTGAAAAATGAGTCAATGCATCTGCCTTGGTTCACTTTATCTCCTCTCTCAGGGGTAGCCCACCTTTCTCCCGACGAAGAGGACTAAGCAGTCAACACCATTAACTGTACTCAGTAGGGATACCTAAAACAACATACACCTTCTTCATATCCGGAAAAGTCTTGAGAGTTGAGCCAAATTTTGAATCTACATTGATAGAGGAGGTTAGTCAACAAATCAGAAAGCAGCCTAGCAAAATCATAAAACAGCCTAAAGACTATACAATCTACTTGCATGTGATGAAACTCGTCGGAACACACAACTCAAAAGAAGAATTAGACTCCCACTCTCCACTTATCTCTAAAGTTTATGTGGCCCAGTCATGATCTCCTTTGCTCGAATGATCGAAGAGCCTATGGCCGGATCGCAGCTGCCCAACTCCATCAGTATGGCCTATGTCAAAGAAATACCATAATTCGTTGACAATTAAGCCAGGGAATGAGGCTCGAGACAAAGAATTGGCTCAGATTGAGGAACCCACCATCACATAGACTAAGCCAAGGAATGAGGCACGAGCCTCCCTTCTTCTCTACAACACGGGCCCAAGTACAGCGACCCAGACCAAAGCACCCTAGCGTCTTAGCCCATGCCAGCCTTCCGCTGAGCCCTAGGCTCATGCCACTAGCCCTCAGCCCAAGCTGAGCCGATGAAATAGCCCTACGGTAGTAGCCATGTCGTGGCTCCTCAACTATTTTTTGACACGCCCTTGGTGCTACTTGCAGATGAAGAAAGCAACGAAAAACAGTCCTTTGCACGGGCTAGTGAAGAAGATTGATAGGAGAGGAGGAACAAATATCATCTAGCTTTCTCTCTCTTGTAGGGTAGAATAAATTTCTCTTTGAAGTTGATTTAATCATCTACTTAAGGTAGGCTTAAACAGATTTTGGAAGTGATTTATTTCCTTTTCCTAAAAGGATCTAATTTCCAATTAAAGTGGGAATCTACATCAAAATAAGAAACAATCCCTTGTTTACTAAATCAAGGGAAGATCTCTACACTAGTACCCTTTCCTGCGAGTCGCCCAACATCTGTAGGGGCATTTGTGGAGTAAAAAATAATCAAGAAAATTATGGAGGTGACATGTGAACTTTTGGGTCAAAATGACAAAATTACCCTTAAGGCACACCGAGATTCCCACGCGCATACAACGGATAATAATGACTCAATCAAGGAAGAGTCAAAGGTGATCAAAATGGTATTTATTCAAATCATTCTCATCACTCCTCATCAAATTCTTATTCAAAAGGTAATTCTCAAATTTCCTGTTTATATTATGATTAATTGCCATGTTAAATGCAAGATTTTCACATAATATCTTGCAATTATTCACCCAATTACACCATTTATGGCTGGCCACTATTCTCTAAATACGGTCGGCCACTCCCTTATAAATAGCCCTATTATCCCACTAAAAAGCTAAACCATTTGCTACCCACAAACTCCTAAACACATTCTTTTTAGAATTCTAACTTTGGCATTGGAGATTCTTCGGCCAAAGCCCCCCCCCCCCAAATTAATCGTGGGTGCGTGAGGCTTTTGGCCTTAATCTTAGGTGTTATTATTTTGTAGGTGCTTTTCGTCAAAGGAGAAGACGGTGAAAATTTGCATCCACAACCCCTGCTCTCACACTTGATACACAGAAATAACCCTTCTAGCCCCATTGAATAGAGCTGTGATAAGGTGAGTGAAAGAGAGTAGAAGATCATTTGTTTTGCTATGGAGTTGTCACAATACAAGGAGAGACACACTTATAAGATTGCTCAACAGGGGTTCTAATCCAGATCAATGTCTTTAGTTTATTATGAATTTCCTTCTTACATTTTCGTGTTTACAATCTTAATTTTAGTTGATCATTTCGGAATAGGGATGGGCAATGGTTATGGCCGGCGGGTAACCGCGGTTATTTACCCATAACCGTTTACGCTCTCACCCGCATAACCGTTTACCCAGTGGGTAATTGCATAAACGGTTATATCCATACCCATAAATGTTTACAAATAGTTTACATACCCATAACCATGTACCCGTTTAACCATAACCACATATACCGGTGTATCCGTTTATCCATTTTTTAACCCGTTTAACCTTTTTTTACCCATTTACCCTGGTTTTATTCGTCTGCACATTTTTTTTAACAACTTAAAATTTAAAAAAGAAATTTGTATCTCTAAGAAAGTTTGGCAGTAGAATTCCCATCCGTATTGGCAGTAGATTTCTTTAATTTCAACATCCTTATATATAGTTGCACTGTACGTGCAAATCTTTGATGTCTTTTAGAACTACCCTATGTAAATATATTTATATTTATATTTTGTTGTCATAGTTGCACTGTTGAAATCAATCAAACTTCGACTGTTTTGCCGAAGATGAGAGAGAGAGTTAGAGATGAGAAAGAGCGCACCAAGGAGAGAAAGATGAGTGGCGGAGTCTGGAGAGATTAAATAATTTTAGGATTTTTAGTTATGTATTTTATTTTTTAATTTTACATATATTAGATAAATTGTTAAATGGGTACCTATTTATAGCTACGGGTAATACTCATAAACATCCATTTAAATTTCACGTGTAAATAGTTATACTCATAACCGTTTATTTGCTTAAACGGTTACCCATAACTGTAATCGTGAATTTTAAATGGACGGGTAACCGCAGTTACTCATACCCGTGGGAATTTTACCCATTCCTTCGGAGACTCCTATCATGTTCTCAGTAGCATGTGAGCTTTCATCATGGAGCTCACACTTCGTTCATGGTTGCATATCGAAGAAAGCAAGAGACGTACACTTCAGCATTGTGACATATATCCAGGCTATTCCGAATGATCAACTTCTTGATCGTGTCTGTCGCAAACTTGTTTTGAATTTCGGATATTTGGGATTTCAATTTCAGATTTGAGGAAATTGTTGGTCTTTATATTCCTTAATTGTAGTAATGATCTTTCTTTCTTTTCTTTTTATTCCATTGCTTGCTAGTTTTCTCTTCAGTGTTTTTACTTCATCTTCAATGCAATGCACATCTGCATATTTGGTGACCTGTGAGAGCCGTGTGTATAAAGTTGGATGAGTGAATAGTGAATACCGCTTTACTTGAATTGAACGTTGCGTACAACCATGGATATTACCTGAATTAATGAGCCGCACATTTCAAATATTTATTAATTAAACACAAATAAAGTACTGGATCCCGATTCTCTACATTTAAGCTGGATCCTAAAGTAATATATCAAAATTCACATTTCCCTCCCAGCAATGCATGGGGCCATGCATGCACTAAAGTAATTTACTTAATTCCTCCATTATTACTGCCTCAAATTTTATGATGGCTGGTTTTTTTTTTTTTTTTTTCCCCCGTACAAATAATATATTTACATTAAAGCAAAATGTATTTGGTCGATCTCATTCTTTTTTATGTTTCAAAACGATTCTGAGATGGCCAGCTGCAGCTTCTCCTGCTCAGTAAGCGAGTGACGGAAGTGGCACCGGTGACCGTAAGGACACGCGCCGCCAGCTAACACCATCCGGCAGAGCTGAGTCTTGTAGCGCGGGTGCCTCAGCACGGGACGGAGCTCCCTAACGCCGTGAGCGAACTGGCAATTCTCCCCGTACGGACACGTCCCGGTCTCCTCCCACTTGTTGCACAACTCCGTCTTCAGCATGCCCTGATTGAACACTTTCATCTCGCTTTGCTGCACTTGCGCAAACGCTAGCATCATCCACTTTATATATAATCATAATTATAATTATTTATTTATGTGAATTTAATTCTTTTTAATTGGTTAAGTTTGAAGTTTTAGTTTAAACTCACAGTCAACGGTCTAGAAACGAGTTGATTAGGGACTCGTGGCCGAGTCGAGGAGCGAACCGAAATGCTCTTGGGGAGGGAGATCCGGTCTGTGTCGACGAGTCGGTTACGCTCGATGACGCTTGTCGGACTGATATCAGAGGACTCTTCCGAAATGACACCGTCGTGAGGACTGAGATATCCAAATCCGAGTCGCTGAAAGTCGTCGAGAAACGATGCCGCCATCGGACTCTGAAATGCGGACGATGACGATGACGAGAGGAGGCAGCTCTGGAAGGCTGCCTGCGAAGAGAGGAGCTTGACGAGGTCAGTATTCGCCGATCGGAGTTGAGCGTTCTCGCGGCGGAGTGAGTCGAGCTCGTTAGTGAGGTTGCGGAGGTGAGAGTTGCAGAGGTCGTAGTGGTCGCGGAGCTCCTGGTACTCGAGGACCAGCTGAGCCTGGTTGAGGTTGTGCGACGTCGTACTGTGGCGGTGATGGTCGTCGGAGTCTGAATCCGAGAAGGATGTGGAGCGAGTGGAGGGAGTGAGAGAGAGGGAGCTTGGAAGTGTGTATTTTGGCGGGAAAAGTGAGCGGTACATGGGGTCGAAATCGTCCCCGAATTCTCGGGAGGAATCGGGCGAGTTTGGGTTGGCAGTGTTGGTGTTGCTCTCCATGTAATATATTATATTGAATATGAATTAAGGGAAAGAAATTGAGAAGAGCTGAGAGTGGAAGGGGAGCATCAAAACAGTTAGAGTCCACAACTGAATTTATATGTTATTTATTAGTTGTGTAGTTAGAGAGAGAGGGAGGGAGGGAGGGTTGCTGTTGCTGTTGCTGTTGTTTGTTGTTTGTTGTTGTTGGTGGAGATGGTGCAATGCAAGGGAATGTTTGGCTTGGTGTTGAAGTTTAGTGTGTGTGAGGTGAAGATGGAAGCTAATAGCTTAACTAGAGAGAGAGAGAGAGAGAGAGAGAGAGAGAGAGAGAGAGAGGAGAGAGAGAGGTTGGTTGGATGAAGACTGGCGTTGTTAGAAGAAAGAAGTTCTATATTGTAAGTAAGGTTTAATAATAATTGTATTTGTATGTTGATGGTTTGCTTGTATATCACAACTTTAACAAACTCTCTTATATGGCCCCTCCTTTGGTAACTGGCACCTTCTCAATCAAATATACAATGTGACCATTTAGCTTCTTGTGTAACCAACAACCAACCTCGTCTCCCTCTCACAAAAGGTATTCTTATTTCATTTTATTATTTTGGCTATTTTTGGAGCCATCTTACTTTTTTGTTTTAAGTTTTAATTTTTATGTTTGAAGTACGAGGAAACTATATGAGAGAATTGAGAGATGAAGAAGGGAGACGAGAGAGAGGGGAAAATAATAAAGAGCAAAAAGCATTATGAATGTTTATATTGACAGCATTTTTATAGGAAACGTTGCATAAGTGCCGCGTTTTTGTCTAATTAGAACACTATACCGGGTTTTTCATGTTGGATGTATGCCCTAAAAGCAATCAAGATTAGTGGATTGCTTAAGTAATACAAGGATTAGCCATAATTTAATGGATAAATTACATTTTACCACTTCAAATATTAGGTCACATAATAAACTCAAATCTTATCTTTTAAATATTGCAATATCATACATCAATTTACAAATTAATTGCAATATTACACTCTATTAAAAATTTTGTCAATTTGATCGCTAATTGATGATATGGCAAGTGTAAGTCTTACATGTTTGTTGACATGATCGTCAAATTTGTGCAACATGACAAAAAAAAAAGTTTAATTATTTAAGAAAGCCAAAAAAGAAAAAAGAAAAAAAATGTTATTCTCAACATCTATTTATATTATCTCTCTAATAGAGTTAGAACTCACATATATTGGTAGGCTCTACCTCTATGAAAGAGATTATACAAATAATTGTACAAATAAATTGTAAGTGTAGCACTACTGAATAAAAAGAAAGTTTAATTTTTTTTCCTTCTTCCTTCAAGGGTGCTAGCTTTTGTTGTAGCCTATTTTATCTTACTAAGGGAAAGGGGGCCGGGGGCAATGAGAGATTGTAGAGAGAGATGTGTTTATAGGAATGTAGGGGAATGTGTGTGTTATTCCTCCCTACATAGTGCCTTTATTTATAGTAATAAGAGGGAGAAGAAATGCTTCATCCCCAAGGAATACAAGTCCATATAGGAAAGAATAACTAGAATCAAATCTAATAAAGGATTTACACAATCACACTTAAACTAGGAAATTTTATAACACTACCCCTTAAGTGTGTAAACACTCAAGGTAGATTCAACATCATTTAGAAGTTGAGGAAGTCAACTCGTCAACACTAATTCTAGGAACAACAATATTCTCAATAAGATAGGACCTTGCATAAGGAAGTAAGTTTCACTAAAAATACCTAAGGCTATCGCAAAAACCCGAGTAGGGACAAAATCCATAGTCTAAGAAAAAATGCATGAGTAATGCAAAGTCAAATGAAACATCTATGGGATCTCATCATGGATATGATCAACCCAAGGTGGGTGCCTCGTTAAAACCTAGTTAGGTAGCAAAAACCCAGTGGACAAAATACTTCTAATCGTAGGAAAAAAGAGTATATTAAGATCAAGTAAGTATTCTTCAGGATACTCCCCATGAGTTTGACATAATTCCAAAGAGAACTAGCAAGGTTACAACTCAGAAAGTTTATGCATACCAATTCCTTGAACAAGCTTCTGAAATATCGCCTTCAGTAGTGATTTGGTGAAGAAGTCGGCCAAATTGTTTTGTGAACGGATTTGCATGACTTCAATCTTCTAATGTTCTTATTGTTGATGTGAGAAGAAGAACTTCGGTGCAATGTGCTTAGTGTTTTCTCATTTGATGCATCCCTTCTTGAGTTGTTCGATGTATGTTACGTTGTCTTCATAGATTGTCGTAAAGACATCCACGACGGGGTAAATATCATAGGAGCTTCAAATATAGCCCACAATTGATCTCAACCAAAAGCATTCCCGAGTTGCTTCGTGTAAAGCGAGAATTTCAGCATGGTTAGATGAAGTGGCAACTAAGGTCTGTTTAGTTAACCTCTAAGAAATTATGGTGCCTCCAGCAGTAAAGACATAACCCTTTTAAGAACGCTCCTTGTGCGGATCAGATAAGTATCATGCGTTGGCATAACCAATAAGGAGAGACTCGACTCCAGATAAGGAGGTGCATCATCACTCGAGGATCCATAGGGATAGAACAAGCCCAAATCCATAGTAGCCTTAAGGTAACGAAATATGTTTTAAACACCAGTCCAATGTTTGCGTGTTAATGCATTACTATATCTTTCCAAAAGATTAATAGTGAAGGAGATGTCAGGTCTAATGCATTAAACTAAGTACAATAAAGCACATGTCACACTTAGATAAGGAACTTCAGGCTTCAAAATCTCTTCATCATCCTCCTTCGGAAAGAAGGGATCTCATTTTGCATCTAGCGATCGAACGACCATAAGAGTACTCGAAGGCTTTGCTTTATCCTCGTTAAAGTGGCATAACACATTCTGGGTGTAGTTCGCTTGATGTACTAAGATTTCATTTGAACGGTGCTTTATCTCGAGACTGAGATAGTATCGAGTCCTTCCTAGATCTTTCATCTCAAATTCTAACTTCAGGTGTTCGACAGTTCTTACGAGCTCTTCAAGAGTTCCAATAAGGTTCATGTCATCGACATATACTGCAATTATCGCAAAACCAAAATGTGACTTCTTAATGAACACACAGGGGCATAATTCATTTTTCACATGTCCCTGATTAGTCAAATACTCACTCAGACGGTTATATCACATTCTTCCATATTACTTCAAACCGTAGAGTAAACGCCTAAGTCGAATTAAGAGTGTGTTCCAAGGTTTGAAAATATTTGATCCAATCAATGTAAGTCCTTCTAGAACTTTCATATAGATTTCCGTCCATCAGCTACATGCTCAGTTTTTCAGAAACTACCAAACTGAAAAGGTGGCGAAAAGTAATCACATCCATAATAAGTAAATACGTTTCGTCATAGTCAATCCCAAGGCATTGTAAGAAGCCTTGCGCAACATGACGAGCTTTGTAATGCACAATTCTGTTCTTCTCATTACTCTTCCAAACGAAAACCCACTTGTAGCCAACGGGCTTCACATGTGAAGGAGTAAGAGTTACAGGTCTAAACACCTTACGTTTCGCAAATGAATCGAGTTCAACTTGGATTGCTTGTTTCCAGTTTGACCAATCGGTTCTACGTCGACATTCATCAACGAAACGGGGTTCAATGTCATTGCTCAACATGATCTCAATAGCTATTGCATATACTAATGCATCATCGACGATCACCTCATTTCTACTCCACACATCATCTAAGCTAGCATAATAGACCGAAATCTCACGATTTTTAGGAGGTGGATTTGTCTCTTCAAGGATGCTTCCGTAATCTAGACTTTCCTCATGTGTTAGATAGAATGAGTAAGCGACAGTTAGATTCATGGTAGGCTCTTCATGTGCCTGTGTCGTGGGTTTCCTCTTCCGAGGGTATGAATCCTTTGAACAAAGAAGTCTGCCACGCCTATGTGTAGGGGTAGATGATTAGCTGGCAACTAATGTACGTGGATCATCAAAATTGGCGTCCCAAGCCTCCAGGAGGAAAGTCCGTCGTACATTTGGTACATCCATCTTTGTAGGCGTATTTACAACTAGAATATATGATCTTGTCACTCGCGCTAGATCGGTGAAAGCATCTGGCATGCTCTGGATAACTAATATGCATTGCACTTTAGTTTTAGACTAAGTGGTGCGAGGATCTAAATGATACAAAGTGGGAGTCGTCCACGATAATTTGCATCATTCTTCAGGAACGTTAACGTTCTTATCTCCCCGTAACAACGAGAAGACTGTCTCATAGAAGTGACAATCCGTGAAACGAGTGGTAAATAGATCATTTGTCAAAGGTTCTAAGTAATGAATAATAAAAGGAGAATCATATTTGACATAGATTATTATCCTTCGTTGAGGCCCTATTTTTCTACGTAAGGACAGTGAAATCGACACATAGACCGCACAACCAAAAACACGTAGATGCAATATGGCGGGTTTGTATCCGATTACCAACTGAATGACGCTATATGGTTGGGTCGCAACAAGCCTAAGTGGACCAACATGGTTGCTTGCAATATTGTATGGCCCTAAGCAGCGATTGGGAGCTTGGTATGTATGACCAACAATCGAGCAATCATTTGTAAGCGCTTAATGAATACGTCTGCCAGGCCGTTTTTGGGTGTGAACATGGAGTACTGGATGTTCAACTTCAATCATAACTGACATGCAATAGTCAACAAAAGTTTTAGATGTGAATTCTCTAGCATTATCCAACTAAATAGATTTGATCGGATAATCAGGATGGTGAGCCTTGAGCTTGATAACCTGAGCCAATAGTTTGGAGAATGTAGCGTTCCTTGTGGACAACAAGAATACGTGTGACCAACGTATGGAAGCATCATCCAAAACCATAAAATATCTAAATAGTTCGCATAGAGGGTGAATCGGTCTACAAATGTCCCACTGAATCCTTTGTAGAAAAATGGGAGGATTCAAAAGAATCTTGTTATAAGAAGGCCTAGTAATAAGTTTTCCCATTGAACATGTTTGATATGCGATTCCTTGAATCCAACCTAAACTTCAGGTTAGTGGATGCCCGTATGATGATTTGAGGATACGGCG